CATTTTTTTAAGCTATTAAAGTATTTGTGACATTTGTGAAAATATTTTGTCACCTAGTTAGCTGTATTTTTTACACGATTTTTAAAAGAATTTTTATACTACCTATGAAAAAAAAATAATTAAGTAATTAATGAATAAATATTTTCATCCCTAGAAACTACCTTCTATTTTAAATAAATTATAACTCATTTTCATAAACTTTTACCATTTATCTACTTCTACTGTCTATCATTGATATTTATTTTTAATAATTATGAGGGACGAGCATAAAATAATTCTACCATTCTACCATTCTATAATTTAATATTTATTTTGAGAAAACATTTTTTGCAACCAGTGAAAATTATTTAAAATGCAATTATGCACTTTTAGTTAGGTAGTAGGTTGAACTAATTGTTGCCAAAAATATCTCATTTAATATTATACTTGGGTGTAAGTTATAATAATGATTTTAATTTATAATACTATATCTCATTAGTCAATACCGTAAGTACGATGTACCGAGTACCTACCGTAATAAGACAGTAGGTACGAGGCACCTATATGTAGCCGTGTAGATTTCAAGGCATAAATAATACCTATACAATTTATTAGTAAATTGAATTAAAAATTTCACAGAGTAGAAAATAATAATAAAAAATTTCATATATCAACGATTAATATTTATTTTTATCAAGAAAATGAATACCTATACAATCTGTGCCATACGACACAATATGAATGTGATGCATAGGCGGAGATCTTGTGAAATATTAAGGGGGGCTCAAATATTTGATGACAAACAGACCCGTGGGGGCATAGCCCCCACACCCCCAACAAACTAATTTTTACATTAGATCACTCATAAAAAATTGTTCTCGTTGACTCGTTATCATAACAACTTAAATAGTTACAAACATAAAAAGAAAGAATAATTAATAAACGATTTAAATTTAAATATTTCAAACATATTTGAACTAAATTATTAATTAAAAATCTAAATCACAATCTCAAAATCAATGTATTCCCAAGAACGGTTAACGATTCATTCAATCGCGATAAACTTTACGATAGGTTTAATACAGCTATAGCGATAGTCCTATAATCGCTTCTCGAGAATTAACAAAAATTAGGAAAAGAAATAATATTTTTCCCATCTAAAATAGAATGGTATAATATGTTATTCAATATAGATGGCCAATTGGTACAAAATATGTACAATATTAGGTATATAAACACAATATAATATTATTGTGAATTGTGACTTAATTGTTCGGTATGTTACCGTAAATAATAAATAGGTAAATAGTGTGTATTTAATGTACTAGGTACACTTATATAATTGTGGATATAAGAATATAAAATAATGAAAAAAGTTCTGTAAACTGTACAAAATTACGGTATTGTTTGTTTAATATTCTTAGGGGGTCTTTAACTTCAAATCATTTAATTTGGGGGGACTAAGCCCCCGTAAGCCCCCCCCCCCCGATCACCGCCTATGATGTGATGCGATAAGTTTTTCAACATGAATAATGAGAGAGAAAAAAGGCACCCAGTGATAGATAATTTTAAATAAATTATACCTACCGCAATAGCTAAAATCGTTATTTTTTATTAGTATTTCCAATTTTGTCATAACAAGAAATTCAATTGATCAAATGTATTTAAATAAAAGTTACTAGTACAGTAATACGTGGATCATAACTCATAAGCCATGTTAAAATTAAAATGTACATCCAAAAGTTCCATTTTGTGTTGTTTGATAAGATATTAAGAGTGAATTGGCCCAGTGTTGATAAAGTTCCTTTTAAAAAGGAACTCGTTCCCGTTCTTCGTTCCTGTCGCGAAAAAAAATCGCGTTCCCGTTCCCTTACACATTTTTTTAAGATTTAAGTGGTGGTCAATGGTGTTTTTTGCCAACAGTTTTTAAGTCAAAAATAAACGGTTAACTCTCTCGCTCTTAACAATAACTTAATGTAATCTCTGGTCAGGTGACACTACTGCAGAGGGTCTTCCTATTCGAATATTTCATAATGGCATATAAACTTTGTCATCATACTTACTGATTATTGTAAAATAGATTGTAAATATATGTTAAAAAAAAAAAAAAAAAAAAAAAAAAAACTCTCTCGCTCTGATTATTTCTGACTTAAAATTTTTTTGCAAAAAACATAATTTACCACCACTCAAATCAGTTAACTCACTCCTTTCTAAGGAGCACTGATTTTTAACAAAAACTATTTGTCTTGGGTTCATTTGTTATAATCCTAAAGTTGTAAAGCGTAGATTTGAAACTTTCCCCAGTAAAAAATTTATTATTTTAACTAAAAATGCACTCCTTCACTCAGAATTGTTTATTATTTAATAATCAATAAAAAATATAAATATGTAATGTGAAGTATGAACATCGTACATATCACAATTATACTTATATTATCATATTATACCATCAAACTTGTATGGTAATCTCGAAGAATTAAAATATTCCAACGATACTTAGTTTTACTCACGATGTAGGTAAAATTGTATCTACATCGTGGTTTTACAACTATTTACTTATGATAGATGAAGTGATACCGAATTGCCAACACTAAATATATTCTAGAAAATATTATCATTTATCATTAACACGTTCAAGGGACCGCAGTCGACAAATGTTGTGTATATCATTATGGGTATATTATTTGATAGGTTATAGACGTACTGTTTCAATATTTATATGTGGTTATTCAGTTGGATGTCGTGATTTCGATGGTATATTTAGATTTTGCGTAGCTAGTTAGTAGTTTTAGCTATTTTTAATTAATTTTCCCCGAAAGATGACGACGGCGATGTCGATTACGCGGCTGTGCTATTTCTGATAATATTAAATATATTAATATCATATTATTATTTTCGTTGTTACTATAATATTCTGACGAAATAGAATTAGTTTATTGTAATAATCTACAGGGTGTATCTTGCTCGGATGTATAATAACAATAAGTGTATATTTATGTTCGCAGACTATGGTATACCAATATTCATATTTTTATTATTTACACACCGTTTATTATATATTATTTAATTTGATTCCCATTTGTCTACGACAAAATTATTACTATGTGGTTAAACATATTATTTGTAAAACACATCAAAATTTCGAGAACGTATTTCCTTTATTGATCCATGGCGCGCTGAAACGGTGTCAACCGATGGCGTCGCGGCTCAGTTTTGGAGCGGAAACACACAATAATATGCATTATGCGCTTCATAAATACTGTGGCACTCAACGTGTTAAAAATAACTATTTTTTTCATTATTTGAGGAACGGAAATTTTCTTTCGAGTTCCTTAAAAATAGGAACTCTTTCCCGTTCCTATATTTTAAATAGAACGCGTTCCGAGCTTTGTTCCTATAAAAGGAACGAGTTCCTTCCCAACACTGAATTGGCCTATTATCAAACATAAATGTAGGAACATTATAATATGTGTTCTCTAGTGGGTTTTTTACGTTATTTTGATTTTTAAGGGAGTTATGAACATGTAAAATATTATGATTTTTAAATGCTCATAATTTATGGTCATAAATCACATAAAAATTATAACATTATATGAGGGCACGACAACTTAAAGTATAAAATATAAAATATAAAAACAATTTATATAATTTTATTTTATTATTTTAAATATCAAATAACACTGGTTAGGTAGGTATAAAATTAAAGAAAAATGCATGACAACAGAGTGAATAAAATATTAACACTGTAAATAAAGTTAATTCATAAATAATATTTTAACAAAAATAATTTATAAAACATAAAATAAAATAATATATTTATTAATACATAAATCCAGTAGTTGTTTCAAAATAATTATATCAGGTATGTCATTTTAATAGAGGAATGCAACATTTTCATTTTGAAAAAAAAGCTAAATTATGAATTTAAAAAATATCATTAAATTTTGCTAATTGAATTTGAGAATTGTGTTAATGTTACTCATTTAGTATTATTAAAGCATTGATTTATGTACTGGTAACACATATGGAGGTAATCTGTTATTTAAAAAATTGTAGTAAAATTCAATAAATAATACCTGAGAGGTCATGAGGAGTATAGCTTTCTTTGGCATAATACAAGAGCATGAAATTTGTGTGATTATAATTAGGAATTATGATACCTTATCTACAGTAACCTTTGAATATCAGCTTATTAATTACTATTTATTACAAATAGGCAATAACACTAGATCATTATAGCACCACATGGTCACATTTCAAAATACAATTAATAGTATTTTCGAAAACGACTGAAATATAAATTTTTGTAATAATAAGAACAATAAAATATCAGTAGGTATTTGAGTAAAGATAATTAAAAATGTCAAGTTTGGTAATACCAATATCTTAAAGATACAAAATAAAACCTTTTCAGTGAGCATATACAGGCATACAGCTGTAGAATAGACATGGATATGGATAAATCTTTCAGAATGTTTAGACAGTGAAAATTTAAGAATGATATCCATGTAGAATATCAAAAAATAATAAATTAGTCACAAGATTTAAAATCTCTTACTAACTTGACAAAATGTGTTTAAAAGAAATATGTATGCTAAAGCAAAATGTCAATGGATATAATTTGTCTTGTGAATTCACTTTCATAAAACTAATCTTAAATTACAAGAAAATCTGTAAAAATAATTAACATTAAAATAATTAAATCTATAAATTGTGTTAATATTTAAAGAGGGTGAATAAATGAAGTGTCTCTACCTAGTACAACAAATAATTAAAAATAATAATTATTGAAAATAAGAAATATTCAGAATAAAAAAAAATTTTTTTTTTGGAAATGTGGATTAAAAATTATTATAATATTATTAATGTTTTTGTATGCATTTAGGTGAAATATTTAATGTATTATCAAAGTATGAAATAAAAAACTTTGGTAACAATCCAGTTGGTTTAGAATATAATATACTAATTTTCTATCAAACATAATATAATTTGTAATTAATATAGTTTAGTGTAATGATGTAATATAAGTATAAAATCTACAAAAAGTTTCTATATTTTTAATATGGAAAGTAATTAAATGTATTGGATATTCGGTTGAATCAATATTATTATATAATGATTTGTTGTTGTATTTACACTCTTTTTTTCCTCACCGGACCTAGATGTAAAGTGTTAGTTTAGTAATAGTATTAAGTATTGTAAAAGATGAGTATTGAGTTGCCATGTTAGTATAAAAATGGTATTATTTAAGAGGTATACAAGTCAATATGATTGTATGTTTATTGTTTACACATTATACAATGAGAACTAAGAAGACAAACTAATTAAAGTAATGTATACAATGTAAGATAAAAATAATTAATATTTTGAATACCTTAGCAATATTGTTGTACAAAAATTATATTATTGTTAATACTTTGGTCTTGTTGAATTAGTAAATAAAATAAATTAAGTGACAAGATATACTCAAACTAATTTCAATTCAAAAAATCAGTCTCAGGGGTTAAGCAAAATAATGCAGTTTTATATCAAAATTATTATTATAAATTGTTGTTAGCTTATTGATTATAATTTACAATTATATAAGTATAAAAATATTAAAATACACTCTACAAATTTAACACATTGTAAATTCTGTTTCCTTAAGACCCTCAATAAAACATAGATATTGAAATCGAAGCAACTCAATCATGATACTATGCGCCGCATGCCACACTCTGTACAAAATTTAATATCAACAATTGGATATTTGAATCCACATTCATGACAAAACTTAGCAGCTTTCAGCAGTGTAAGATAATTTTCTTTAGTCACCTCTTCAGTTTTTCTGTTCAAGCTGATAAAAAAAAAAAAATAATAATTAATAATATATTATTACAATAATACGTTTAAATTAACATAATTTTTATAATATAAAAACTATATAATTATGAATAATATGCAAAAATCTTCACTACATAAACAAAAAAGAACTTTATTAAGTTATAAAATGAATAGATTATTTTTCGTAAAAAGTTGTTAAAAATTATTAATAACAAAAATAAACTCAATTAATCATTTAATTGATAATGTAGTACTAGGTGATATTTTATAAACTATAACTAATAGGTAGTGTTTAGTGATTAATGAGTTATTCGATTTGATAATTTATAATAATATGTGTTATTAGGTGTCATTTTGAGTGATTTTTTATATTTCAATTATTTACTTAAAACAAACACACAATCTGGTAAACATATTATTTACTGTAGTTACAGATTCCAAAAGTACAATACACTTTATTAAAATGAAAAAAAAAATTATTTTTTGTAAATACTTATGATTAGTCAAAAAAATGACATAATCATTTTGCTTAGCTAAGTAATATTTTGTTTTTCATTAAAAAAAATTGATTATCCAATATTGTATTCTTACTCGGTGTTCATATCCAGACCAAATAGGCAAAACCATAATCAAATGTGTGTTATAATGTGCTATAATTATCAAATATGTTAATAATTTTAATGTGTTAACTACCCGTGTTAGGCTGATTTTGGCTAAAACCAGTAAGTGTTGGATTCCAAATGAAACCCGTTCAAACCGTGCAAGTACCCGATGACAATTGAAAAACCTTTGATTGCTCGCCTTACCTTCCGTAAGCTGAATCAGCACTGCTATTGGAATTAATCCCATTGATCATACTTAGGGCAGAGGTTCTATTCAAAGATGGTGATACTATATCATCGTCATCTGTTATTTTCAATAAGTTTTCAAATTCTGACACAGATTTTAAAAGTTCTTGTTCTGCCAAATCAAAATTGAGATTTGATTTATTTTTTTCATTATCACCATAAAGCATATTTTCAATAGCTATATGTTTTTTATGATTATGAGAGATGCTTCGTTTTGTAGGACTTTTTGGATGATCTGTACCTCGCACTATAGCGCTTTGAGTTTTATTATTAAAATCAGCTGATTCAATACTAACAATAGAACACAAACTTAAATTGCTTAGATTGTGTAGTGGATGATTGTTCAGATTAGTGTCAGAGTGAAATTCATTGGGAAATGTGTTTTCAATATTATCTGGAGATGATACTAAAGGAGAAACTGGTGAATATTTAACGAATGCAGATGTTGGAGACATTTGAAGATTCTCAATATTATCAGATAGGGTACAATTTAATGGATTTTTTAGACCAATGTCAATTATGTCAATGTCTAGATCCAGCTCTTTCATTTGTTTTTCAGCTGATTTAAATGGATCGTAGCCATCCAAATGAGGGTCGTAAATATCCAAATGAGGTTGGCTAAAACAATAAAATTCACAATGTATTGATATTTTACAATAATTAAAATAAAATGTTTTCAATAAGCTGCATTGATTATAAAGTATAAATATTGAAAAATAAAATGTTAAGAATTTTATAAGAAATAATAGTTATGACTTCCATGTGTTACTCATACATTTAAAGCATGGATTACTACTTTAACTGATTGTTAAGTGCATAAATATAATCCCACATCATTAAAACAATAAAAATACAAGCTATAAAATTTAAAAATTTAGCCTTTTAAACATTTATTGTCATGTTAACCAACAACAGCTAGCTAAATTAATAACCTTGGAAATTAATATACAACTTGTTTAATTTCAGATCTTAATTTATTCTACTAAATTATTTATTGACACTAATAATTTCAATATTTTTTTTCAAGTTCTGATAATATTTATTAAAGTTATGTTAAAAATGTCAACTTAATATTGATTGTATTTTAACTTTTAAGGAAATTAAGAAGGGCAATTTAACATAAGTGATGACATTAAAGTGACTTGTGTGTGTCTATAATCTGTGCTTAATTGTTTTCAGTTGATATTTCTTAGAAATGTCTTGAGTTATAACAGTATAGGCTCTCATAGTACCACCCTTAGTGATTTATATTCAACATCAATTAACTTACACACGCACAGGCATTGTCAATAATATTTAATTAGATAAACTTTTTCATTTTAAAAAAGTGGCAGTTTGACCAAAAAGCCAGACAAAACTGAAGAGAAATTTGGATTGAATGATTTCAATTTTTAAAACTGATTTTAATTAATTAATAAGTTTACTAGGTTATTATACAAGCAATTTTGAATGTTCATTTTTTGCAGCTGTGACATCAATAAAAACAAATATGGTATATTTTAATTATATTATTTATCATGACACTAACAATATTCAGAATATTAAAAATCAACACAATTCAAAAATAGTTAACTTGTTAGTCAACCATAATCCTTTAACTAAATTAAAATTCATCAAACAAAATTTCTCCAGTCTTGTCTGGCTTTTTGGTCTAAATGCCATTTTTATATCATCAACTGCAGCCCCCTTAGCGTAATTTTTTTAAAAATTACTCATTTATAATCTGTGCATGACATAAATACAATGAGTAAATGGCATTGTATAAAAAACAAAACAGGAGGGGATGGTGCGTACTGATCACACTAAATTAATCATTTTATACTAAGTTAGCAAGAAGACAATTATTACAGTAATATGTTAATTTTTAAATTATAAAATAGAAAAAATTATTTTAGTTAGATATTTAAAAAAAATTTGTAATTTAAATTCAAATAAAAAAGGTACCTACGCTTTGGTTTGAACCAATTTTAAAAATAAGTGTAATATTCAGTTCTCGAATCATTGAAAATAATCTGAATTAAATTCAAGATCATCCAGGTGAAATATTTAGTGTTTCTTTAAATTATAATCACACATTCACACTATATATTATTTAAGATAAAAACTTGTTTTCATATCAAAATTCTTTTTATTTAAGTAGATTCAATATAATTTTTTATTTATTTAGTAAGTATACATAAATATTAAATACTTCTTATCATCACAAAGCCTCAATATAATAGTTTTAAAAAAAATATTTTAAGAAATTTTAGGGGTTAGAATCAAATTTGTTTAGAATTCTGTACACAATAGGTATTACCATAGGAATTTTGATATTTTATAACATCAGCTACAATCTTGGATTTTTATTGGTTTCTTAAGATCTTTGAAGTAGGTATCCTACTAAGTATTATTCATTATTAAATTTTGATAAATAAAATAATAATCAATGTGGCATAATATGTTATATTTAAATTATTTATTATTATTATCTTTTACAATACAATTATTTTTGAACCGTTATAAACTAGTTTCTGAATAAATTTAATACAAAACTCTTAATATCTTGTCACCTAGGCGAACCTAATAATTTGTGTTTAGAAATATAATCCATTATTCTATGTTTAATGTTGAAATAACTTGGAAAAGTTAAATAATAGTTAAGATATTAAGCATTTTATAGAACCCAACAATTGGTTTCATTTCTTGTTGTCCAATTGTTTTACTTACCAAGCTGTTTTTCTTCTTTGGCATTCATTGTATTTGACTAATAGTCATTGTGAATTGTATATTTTATTTTTACATTGGATGGTTTTTTTTTTTGAGAGAGTGTGTACTCAGTAGCTAAAGGGAGTAGTATTATTTTAAGGTTTTTAGATTGATATTTTAGTCCTATTTATTTTTTTATTTTCAATACTTTACAATTTTCAATGAATACTAGGTATACAATAATGTAGACATTAAAATGTGCATGTGTCTTTAAATAATTTTAGAATTCAACTTCAATTAAGTATGTAATAATATGACATTTTGATTTTCAATATTTTGTATACAAATTCATAATTCTGCATACAATTATTCACTTGTATGATTTCTGTAAAAGTAACCTTGCTAAAAATATTAAATACTATTTTTTTTCTATTTATAGAATGAAACACAACATTTTGTAAATATGTATTTATGAATCTAAATGATGAACGATTTAATTGCCAATCAATTCACAGCTTATTTAAACATTTATATACATTATACTTTCCACTCACGACTTTGATATTTTTTTTTTGTCAAAATTATTGATTCCTTGTTTTATGCGATTTTGAGAACTAAGGATGTAAGCAGATTCTGATTTCTTCATAACTGATTCATTTTTTGGATCTGGCTTTTGGGGCAGGTACATTGCATTTCTATCCCCAGAAGAATAACACTCCATTAATATAAAAATTACAAGCATATTTTACAAAATAACCTTACCCATAATGACGACTTTTTGATACTTGGTCTTTCTTTTTCACTACTGTTGGCAGTTGACGTGGGATATTAGCTATAAAAATTAATTTAATATAATTGTTATATCTTATTTTTGTTTTAATTACATTTACTATCTTCTACATTCTAACAATATTAATGTTTATGTCCTATAGTATTATATCATATTTTTTGCAGAATAAATGTAAAGTATAAACTACATTATAATGTAATGGTATTTTTTTTGGATATAAAATTGAGTTCTATAATTAACACTGTGCCTTTCATCAAAATAACATATGTGTTTTAGAAAAGTTAACTTACAGCCAAATAAAGGGAGAGATTATAAATACAGATATCTAAATATAAATAATACAATGGGTTCTCCTAAACTCACTTGAGGAAACAAATTATTTAAATAGCTATCTAGTCTATACTAATATTATAATTTATAGTTCTTGAATAACATCCAACAGTAAGAAATTTTTTTATTCTGTCTCATTTCCATTAAATAATATTAATATTAAACATACCTACATTAGAATACTTTAATTAAACTAAATTAAACAAACCATATCTTTTAGTAATGTCTATTTATGAATACAATTTTTTTTTAATGTAAGCAGCAGGTAATTCTAAAAATAAAAAACATACTTGCCATAAAGTAGAGATAAAGTATATGATTAGAATTGATTAAAAAAATTCAAAAATGGTAGGTAACTATATGTATGACTTAAAAATATATAGTTTGTAGGTAAAAAACTAAAAATACTTACATACAATATTTCTATTTGGCGGGGTTATTTTTTTAATAGCTTTTAATGGTTGAATCACTTTTATTGGTACACTTGAAACATCTCGAGTACAAGTTTTAATTTTTGGAGAATACTTCTCTTTAGTAACTGTACGCTGTGACTTAAGTGGAGGAGCACGGTACTGAAAATAGAAATAAATTACAAATTCTCAATAATAAACAAATCATTGTCAATAAAACATTTTTATTTAATTCAATAAAAATTAAGAACTAAAAATAGGTACCTAATATACTTTTAATTAAATATACTAACTTTTGTTCTTGCTTCAAGTCGTTCTTTAGCTACTTGACTTATCACTGGTGCAGTAGATATTCGTTGAGCTTTTTCTCTGCAAAATTCTACATGTCGATCATACGATTTGGGTCCAAAATTTCGTGCACAATGTGGACACTCTTCAGAGTCAACAGGTTTGGTCGGTATAAGTTTATCATAGACTTTTTCACCTCGTGCTGCTTTTACAGCTCTAACAAGCTCTTCATGCTTTGCTTTCCAGTTATTTTTTGACTTTTCTATGGCAATATAAGCATCTTGAGCCTTTTTCATATGTGGTAAATATGCTGCCATCTCAGTACCTTGTCTACGCTGTTTAGATGAATCAAATGGTACCTTACGTTTTTTTGCATTTTTTTGACATATATTTGAGTGGCGTTGTAATAAACTTGGACGGAATGAACGATTGCATATTATGCATGGTAACAACTCAATAATTTCATTTTCTTTTGGAAATCCTATAAAAAGAATAATAAAAATAAAAAATAAATTTTGAGATAGGTAAATATGAATAAAAACATATAAATATACAGGGTGATCCAACAAGTATGCTCACCCCCCTTTTTTCTTTAATAATTAAGTTTTTCAAAATCTGATTTTTGGAATCATTAAATTTACTCAAAAACCATACTTTCATATTCTTGAGATTTTTTGTGCCACTTAAGGAGTGTCCTTTGGCGATACGAACCTTTGTTTTTCAAATGAGGGCCCCACTTTTTTTCTTTAAATTAAGAATTTAGAGGATAATTTTTTTGAGAATTTTGATGTATCGAAATCAAAATTCGAAGGAGTGGTTTCCTAGTTATTGGACAATTTTGGACTTAGGAATCCTAAGTTAGGATAATAGTCCATAATAGGGATATGCTTATACAGTTATACACATGGAATAAGAAAAATAATTAAACAAATCAAGAAGGATTTTACTTGCTATTTACCTAAGTGTTTGATTAAAAAAATATAAAATGACGAATTATTTTATATTCTGTGTATAGACTATAGAATAGAAAACAATGTATACTGTATAAGCATATCCTTCTTCCCTATTATAAACTATATTATCCTTAGCAAAAAATGTGTAATAACTAGAAAACTACTGATTCAAATTTTGATTTCAATAGCAGGATCAAAATTCTCAAAAAAATTATCCGCTAAATAATTTACAGTGAAAAAGTGGGGTCCCCATTTGAAAAACAAAAGTTTATATAGCCACAGGACACTCATTAAGTGGTATAAAAAAATCTCAAGAATATGAAAATATGGTCTTTGAGTACCTATATAATTTAAAGATTCCAAAAATCAGATTTTGAAAAACTTCATTATTAAAGAAAAAAAGAGGGGTACTTGTTGGATCACCCTGTATATTTACCTATATTAGGTTTACAACTTATACAGATATTGAAATAAATAATAATCTAATTTAGTGATTACTTCAAACTGAGGTTTATGCACAAACAATATGATTTTTAGTGATCAATGCCATAAAGGTATTTTTCAGGAATAAAGTAGGTTAACTATAATATTAAATAAAGGGAAAAATAGGTAAAGACCGAATTAAAGACTTAATGATTAAATATATAAAAAATATTAAAATAGGTTGTAAATCAGTAAAAGTATTGAACTAAACAGTTGGAACAGTGGAACACTACTTATTAATGTACTAGGTGTAGGTATAATATTCAAATGCCTACAAAAAATATATAGGTACGTATGGTTTTATTTCATATTTGAAATTATTAATAAAATAAGATTGATATAATAATAATATTATATTTAATATGAGATTGATCACTAAAAAGGAGTATATAAGTCTCCCTCCCTGTCATATTTAAATATAAAATTAATACACTCCACTAAAAAAAAAAATATTGTAAGATAGACGGAAATCACTTAGAAAATATGGAAATATTAAATGATTATAAAAACATTTGAGATGACTAGTTAGAGCCCTATATAAAGGGACACGGTTTTTTTCTTAGTTAAAGAAAGTTAAAAATTTTGTGGTAAACAAGACGTCCATGCTTTAAGAAAAAATATTCAACTATAGACATTTCTATTCAATATTCATAGATTTTTTGTTTTAGAAAATAAGTTAATAAATTAATTAATTTGGTTACATACCTAGGGTGCATTATAAAGTACAATTATTAATGGGAAAAAGGTAGAATGAAGATGTTAAAAGATTTCAGAGAAATTTAACTATTAAGTAGTAAAATAGGTATACCTAACTAATGATTAGTAATATAGGTACTCAATTAATAGAACAATTATTTTTCTATTCTAATGTTTAAAAATGCAATACTGGAAATCATAAGAAACTTAACATATTTTATTTATCATAGTAATGCCTGTTTATAATATTTTAAAGCATAATAGGTTATTTATTTATTTAGGTTAAGTAGGAATTAGGGACTTATTACCTATAATATTATTATTATAACAGATATTATAAGTTAATATATTTTTTAACTATGTCTTATACATGTTGTTAAAATTATGTTTAAAACCTACCTAATACATGTTGTGGCTAGCCACAAAACATTGGAGGATTTCTCTAGTGTTAGTCCGAGTACCTCCACAATGTATAAGATTATTGAATTACAACATAGATAGTAACATATTAACACACCAAATAAGTACCTAATAGAATAGTCTCATGCAAATAAATCAATAAAATAGTTTTCAACTTCTTTGTTTAGCTTCTTATCAGATTTTGTACGTCAATATTTTGTTAGGAATACAAACTACAAAATTATGTATATAGAAACAAGTTAAAAAGCAAGACAATAATTAAATAAAACAAATAAAAACGGACAGAAAAATAAAAGATATTAGGTAGATACTAATATAATAATCGTATCTACCTAGAGGTAGATCACAGGGACTTCAAGCAAACACAATATAATAATAACCTACGTGTCGAATACAAACAGAATAGATGAGCAGTAGATAATGTAGATCTAGATACTGCCCGAAATCGACCTTGGATTTTTTTCATCTCAGTATGATTAATCAATAACTGTCTAGAAAAAATCATAATAATAACAAAAATAACAATATATGAGTACCTAAAATTGAAAAACGGTTGGGTAGCACTAGGTAGAAAGAACTATGTTATGGTATTTTAACTTTACAAAGGGTAAAAATGTAAAATGTCCAGTAGCAGACATTTTTATGGGTTGTCATAATATTAAAATAAAAATGTGCAAAATGTACCTTCGTCATAATGCGCTTGATCCATTTTTGGAAAGTGGATTTCGCGAAGGATGGTAACAACAAAACAACGAACCACTCGTCTATAATATTACGTAGGTAGCACACACACCTGAGCAGGTAGGTAGGTAGCAGTAGGTACGGCTGTATCATGTACAGTATAAAAATATCAGTTATTGTTACAATCGTCCGAATCACCGACGGCTAAGAGAATGTTACGTTCGAAAAAACAGCGTTCTATAACTTAGCAACAAGACGGGATGGTTGTTACTATAATAATATCACAATAATTATATCGTTGTATCTACGAGTGTCACGCGGGGGCGGAAAACAATCGATACGACAACGGCGAACCGTGTAGGACGACGCAGCGTACCGACTAACGAACCGTTCGCACGACCACGTTTTGCCGTCGATAAACAAAATGTTATAATCGGCGGTGAAATCATACAAGCAATTTATGTTTTTGTCTTTAACACTACAGTCACTATTTCAGCACAATAATATTATTTTCAATTTAGTATTTACTTCTTACGATGTGATGCACGTAGCGAGTAGCGACGGCACGAAACGCACGGTAACATTTCATTAACTGAAGAACACTGAACAGAGCACAGAAGTGAATTGTGAATGAGTGATGAGTGATGAAGAGTGGAAATAACTTTATCCGTTTATCACTGGTATACTCTACTATCATTATTTATTTAGTGGTGATAACTCTTATAATGATAAGGACGACAGATTACAAAGTACCACAACTGTGGTACTACCAGAATTGTAAGATCAAAGATACACAGATTTCAATAGGTAAATATAGACATCTGTGCTTTAGTGCTTATATGTATAGTTGTATAGGACCATGGTATATTTAGATCAAGTACAAAAACGTAAATAGATGATTAAAATAATATTCTATGACAGATTATATTATTATTTTATTATATTAATATAATCTGTGATTCTATCGTGGAATAGAAAATATATTTTATTTACATTCATAAATCGAATACACGGACGTATAAGCAGTGTAAAGTGTTGGGTAGTGGGTAGTAACTAGTAACGTAACCAAAATAACAAATTACTGTCACGTAATAACTTTTTCAGTAACACAGCAGTAATTTCATTACATTTTACTTGGAGTAACGCAATTATAACAAAATTAATTTTTAAAAGTAATTTCTATGAAGTAAGTAACGCACGTCATTAAGATAATAGTTTTGAATGTACCTATTACAAAAACAAGCCGACTAGTATAGTAACGTGATAAAAGTTATTTTAGGAAACGCAAATGTAATTTAATAATAAAAATATTTAAATTAACAAGTAACATAATGTCATTACATTTTAAAAGTAATTTACCCAACATTGCGTAAAAGCTATACTTCTGTAATATTATTGAAAAAACAAATAAATTAACCTTATACATTCTAGGCACATCATTTGCTTCGTATAATAAAAAACCAAAAAATGAAACTTTAATTTTTCATTTTAGATTCTGAGAGGAGCGATGGATTGATCTTACAATGATGTGTGTTTTTATTTTTGTGTCTATCATCGAGGTTTCGGTCAGTAAAAATGCTTCGATTTTTTTCAACAGCGACTTTTCTGGTAGGAAAGTGAATATAGTTACTGCATTTGGGAGCTCAACATTTAAAATTCCCAATAGTTTCAAAATGTTGTCAAGAGAAACAAACAAACAATTAAGGAGAAACAGGAATTCTTATGCAAAACTAGTTTTCGAAAAAATCAATTTTGGTATTTAGTGTAACTCTAAAAAAAATGACCGTAGTTGCATGAATTTTTCACTGAATGTTTGTGTTAGCATTTTCTATACACCGTATCTACAATTTTTAAAATATTTTGACTCATGTTGAACTATTTATTGAAATGTGGAACTTTCGATTATTATTTCTTTTTTTAAACTAATGTCGATAAAAAATATATTGCTCTATCAAAAAACTTGTAAATATATAACTAAATTTACACCATATGTTTATTTCATCAATTCATATACTTGATACAATTTTCAAAATATTTTAAAAAGACTCTTAATGTATTGTTACAAAAGCAGTTGAAAAATATTAAAAATACATAGGCACGATTTTTTTTTATAAGAATTTAAAGTTCAAATTTTGACAACTACATTCAAAATTTACAAATAATTTTATAGTCAAACATTTTTAAATTGTCAACGTTTATATCGACCTTGATTCTTTCACTCAGAAATCAACCTTTTTATTCAAGTACTAATACCTATATTTTTTTTATACTTATTATTTTGTTTCATTACTTCATTAGTTATGGATAGGTAGTCATTATTATTACGACTGACTGCAAGTTGTGCCTGTGTACCTAATTTTAAAAGTTTATTTGATAATATCGCCAATATTGTCATATTGATAAGTTTTTGTGTATTTGTTTAGGTGTAGGGAAATTCGCCGGAAAATTATTTTCAACATATCATACACACCCGCCCAGCATAAATTGTTGATGCATTTAATAATACATTATTAGGGCAATTTTTAAGATTGTGGCATTTCTTTAAGGACATTTTTCTTATTATTTAGGGCAATAAAGGCCATTTCGTAGTAATAAGTATATAGGGACCTATCTACCAATACAAAAACATAAAAATTGGCAATTTACTTTGTTCTTAAAATTAATAAAATGTTAATAGGTTATTAAAGTTAAAGAGTAAATCCACATCATAATAATTCATAAGCATAACATTTGAAAAATAAAAACAACTTTTATCCAGCGAATATTGTTTCAAACGAGATTAGTTAATTTTAACAAGTAATTCAAAAAGGATTAATTATGTACTTGAAACTTTCCACTATTATACTTGTATCATTCTGAGACCAAAAGGAAAATAATATCGTGGTTTCCCGCTAACGAGTAACGTAAATCATATTACACGGCGGTCGGTCGCCTCGTTCGTAGAATTGGTAGGTACCTATACAATGACGACCGCGATCCACTTTAGAGTTTAGGGATCAAAATGTCCAAAAGAAAGAGATATTCTGGGGCAAGTATAATTGTAAGAAAAATATTATCTGTATAGATAGTATTAACTATAAATATATAATACACATTATAATAATATACATTAACCTACAGTAAAAATCCAAAAACCCCATCACCAGTCAAAATTTAAAAATAAATACATAATCACAATATAGCAGAACAAAATTTACTCGAATTAATATACCATAGTGAATATCTATAGCAATTTACTGTAAATGAATACTATTTTCCAACTTGTGTATTTTAGATACTGAGTGGATTCATGAATTTATTGATTTAAGGTACAATATTCTGTGCTTTTTTTTCTAATGTTTAGATTCTGATAAGTAAATTTATTCATTTTACAATGAAAATTTGGTGTTAATACACTTAAAGTAGGTAATCAAAAAAATGATAAGATTTTAACTTAAGTTTTGATGGGAAAGTGAAATTAGTAGAAAGGTAAAAATTTTAAATTCACAGCAGTTTTCAGAAGCGTTGGGAAAACCAAAAAAAAAATATATGAAAAAACTATTAGGAAACCTAGTTTTTGACTAATTTGAATTTGATCTTAGGGTGTAACTCGAAAACAAATTACAGTAGATACTTGAAAATGTCATCGAATGTTTATTTTATCATTTTCTATTGCATACAATCTTCAAAATATTATGTTAACTGTTATTAATCTATTTATAGGGATAAGAAATTTTCAATATTTTTTTTAATAATAATAAAATATTATTTGGTCAAAAATCTTGAAAATTTAATACAAGTTCCTCATAAATTTTTATAATAACAGTTTAAAAATACAAAACATTAAAAATTAAAATTAAATATTATTTTTATATAAGCATTTAAAGTTGTGATATTGATGAAATTCATTAAAATCACGAAAATTCGCAAATTATTTTATGGCTAAAAAGTTATGTTATGTTCAATTTGTATAGCTAAAGATTGAAAATTTAAAACAATATGTTTCTTATACTTTTTTTATACTGTAACTCATAGCCGTGCGCATGGTTGGCTTACTTTGCTATAGCCACACCTGAGACTTTTTTTTAAAGTAAGTACCTTACATAGGCTCAACTAGGGGGAACTTGGGGGCCTAATCCCCCTCCCAATATTAATTTTAACTCCCCTTGTCATAAATTCCTAGCCCCACCAACAGAACCTAGATGTTTTAACTTTAATTTTAAATATCGTTTTTTTATTTATTAATATCTTGGAAAAATGTTTATTTTTTTTGGTTATTAAACTTTATTATGTAATAAAATTTTTTGGGACTGGTGCTCATTGATAATAAATATATCCTCATTTATCACATACCATGGGTGTGCTGGAAAAACGCAACAAAGTCATTTGACAACCATCAAAAGACAAAAGCGCATAATTATAGTTCAAAATCAATGTTAAGTTAATAGTTGGAAATTCAATAGATGTTATACTAGTGATGAAAGTAAAAAATTACAAATTAGCCAAAGAGATAATGAGCCTCTTAAGAATAGAGATTTTTTCAAAGACTTGTTGATACAATAATACTGTAAGCAAAAACTGGAAAACGGTTTCAAGTCAAAATGTTAATACTTTTAACAAAGAGTTAATTAATTTATTATTGAAATACCACCCAATTTATAAAAAACATATTTTACTCTGACACCGTATTCAAAATGATATAATTTTGGCTCTTAACAACTCTTTTCGGAAAAAATTGTCAGTTACTAAAGTTACTTGACAAAGAAAAAAAATATTTCAGTTATAGCCGATGAAAGTAGCAATATAGGACATCATGAACAAATGTCCATAGTTGTTTGATATTTTGATTCAAATTTAAATCAACCATTAGAACACTTTGTTTGCAAAGGCTTACTTCAGTCGATGCACGATCTATATTTAATAGCATAAATAATGTGTTAATAAATAAATTAGGCTTAAGTTGGTCTTCTGTCATTGCAGTGTGCTTTGATGGTGTGACCACTATGTCAAGGTATAACAATGAAGTTCAAACCAAATGCAAAGAACAACATAATTCGCTAATATATATCCACTGCTATGCACATTGTTTGAATTTATTTTTGGTCGATTCTATTGGTAGAAAGAATCGTGTAGTTAGGTTAATAAATCTTAATATTAATTCACACAACGTTTGTACTATTTGTACTGTTTATCAGTTTTTATAGTACATTTTATTTCTACTTCCTTATGTTTTGTATTTCTATCTTATTTTTTTTTCCAAGACGGAGTTCTATAAGGGGATGCGTGATCAAAAAAAATAAAAGCCACACCTGAAACAGGAGTCGGCGCACTCCCATGCAGTAACTGCAAATCTAAAAATTATATAAACATGGTTTTTTAAAAAAAATATACTAAATATTAATTATTTATTCAATTTTAGACGAAATTTAATGTATTTAAATGAAGAATAACGATTTTAATTTTTTTTTTTTAAATTATTATTTGTGAGTAGGTACTTGAAACTTTTATTGTATATCGAATGCAATTTCTGTATTCTCCTAAAATTAATCCAACCTACTGTTTTACTTTTCACTAATAGTAAAATCAATTACTACAATAGTAATACACCTAATAAATTATAATATAATATAGAGGTAATTTTTAATCAACTCAGAAATGGTCACAC